GCCTCTTAGAGTTGGTTGGGCAACTCCCACCTTTTCATGTTCTCTGTATGTGTATATATATCTCCTTACTATAGGTTCCATTCTATACATCCGATGAAGTGGGCTGTAGCCCACAAAAGCTTATGCTCAAATAAATTTGTTAGTCTCTAAGGTGCCACAAGTACTCCTGTTCTTTTTACCACTAAGTTAGTTATTCCCCATTTTATTTTTCCTTCCTAAGTGTAGTACTTTGTACTTGTCTTTATTGACTTTCATCTTGTTGAATTCAGACCAATTCTCCCATTTGTCAGGGTCATTTTGATTTCTAATCCTGTCCTCCAAAGTGCAAGCCGCCTTTCCCAGCTCGTGTCATCTGCAGATTTTATAAGCACACTCTCCACTCCATTGTCCAAGTCATAAATGAAAATATTGACTAGTACTGCACCCTGGATGTACCCCTGCAGGACCCCACTAGATAGAGCCTCCTAGTTTGACAGTGAACCGTTGCTAACTACCCTTTGGGTACGGTCTTTCAACCAGCTGTGCACCCATTACTAGGCCACATTTCCCTAGTTGGCTTATGAGAATGTCATGTGGGACTGCATCACAAGCTTCACTAAAATCAAAATATACCTTGTCTACAGCTTCCCAGGCCCACTAGGCCAGTGACCCTGTCAAAGAAGAAAATTAGGTTGATTTGTCATCTGCCGCTGAGTTCCAGAGTGTGAACAGGCCCCTCATATGGCTATCCTTGGTGCTCACCAATCATGCTGCAGCTATGGGCTTACTGGCATAGCTTGATGCCTTTGGCAGATGAGATCAGTTTGGGTCCGACAGCTTTCTATAGTGGCACGACAAGGCCTTGACGTTCCTTGCCAAAGAGTGCTAGGCAAGTGCACCCCAATGTTGGCCCGTGGGCTGCATCCTGATGTTTCTGTGCTGCTTGGCACCTGGCAAAAAGAACAGTAGATATGTCTCGGCACTGACCAGCCTCCTTAAAATCCAGTTGTACTGGTAGCAATAAGTCCAGATACTGCTACGAGGCAGTGAACGGTTTTAGTTGCTACTCTGCACTTGGATTGTTCAGTGTTAAAGTGAGATGCAGCCACAGATTTGCCAGTCTTATGTAGGGTCATATAGCTCACCCATATAGATAATAGGTGTGAGGGACCAATGTGATCAACTAGTCTGACCTCCTATATAGCACAGGCCAGAGAATGTCACCCAATGTTCCTGCAACCAGTCCATAGTGTGCAGCTGATCTAGGGCAGGTTATGTTCAGAGAGGCAGCCAGTCGTGATTGAAATACCGATAGAACCACTGAGCTACCTTGTGTCTTTTTTGCTCTTTTTGCCACACTGCCAATAGGAAGGAAGAAGGTGAGCGTGACTGGGTTCCAAATAAGCATTTAGAGCAAACATGCCAGGCCTAGCTGTATGCTTAGGGTATGTCTACACTGACAGAGTGTTTGCGCTGTAAGTGTCACCGGTGACAGGGAACCGGTGAAAGTAAAGCGCTGGTTTGTGTCCTCACTCAATTCCTCAGGCGCCAGAGAGTGTTGACACTACCAGCACTTCCATCGCGGATGAGAGCAGTGCTGTAGGGCAGCTGTGGGATAGGTCCTGTGGGAAGGGGGGGGTGAGCGGAAGGCATTCTGGGTCCCTGCTTAGTGCCCCGTGTTGCGCTGCTTCATGTCCCAGCAGCCCCATTACTTCCTTGTTTCTTTCGTGGCATTTTTTTTACCCCCCCCTGCTGTCTGGCTGCTTTCCCTGCCACATCTACAAGCAAAGGGAAAGGGAGTTTCAACTTCCGGGGCTTACAGGGGGAGGGGCGGACGTCCGTTTACTTGGCATCAGAGCAGCGGAGATGCTGGCCAGAGTGGTCACTTTTGGAACTGTGGGATATCCTTCGGAGGCCAAAAGGTGTTTACGCTGGTAGAATGTGTCTTCACTTTCACAACAGCGCAAAAAGAACAGCGCAAAGGACTGTAGGCCTCTCGTGAAGGTGGTTTTCTTTTTGAAACTCAGAAGTTTCACCGCAAAAAGTCATTAACAAGTGTAGACGCTCCCGCGGTTTTAGCGCAAAACATGGACTTTTTGTGTTTTAAATGGTAAGTGTAGACACAGCCTTAGAGTTGCTCTGGTTAGGTTCTGGCGGTGTGTGCTGCCCACCACACACAGCACCGCTGGAGGGCTCTTGGAGCATTTAAAGAGATACCTACCTCATTCCTGTATACTGCTGGCTAGAAAAGATGCATTAAAACTGTCCGCTTTTTTAGCGGGACCAGTGAACTCGGCTGACAGGTCCTTCTCATAGTGACGACACTAACAAAGAATCAAATGGACGTAAATTGGCTTGTGACTTGCCATAGCAAGATACCAAGGCCAGTAAGGCCCTGCCTTCCAAAGGCCGAGCGCAAGGGCACGTAGTTTGATCTGCAGTATATGGGGCCGGACTTGCAGAGGATCCGCTCCCTGATGTCAGTGCAGAGTGAACCTTCCAGACCATGAGAAGGAGCTGTGATGTGGGATTTCCTGTCCGGAAAGAGCTGACACCCAATCCCTTCAGGCTCCCCTTTTACCCATGGATTGATTTCGGTGTGTCAGCTGAAATGGATGTTTGCCGCCGGTTACTGGTTGAAATCGAATGCTGCCAAGTCTATCTGTGTGTGCCGGAGCCAGATCCCAAGGTGTTCTACCTCCTGCTTCCACTCGGTCTCCTGCCGGTATCCCAGAAGGAAGTGCCTTGTCTGTCACAATGTGGAGAGCTGGGGTTGGGCCCCTGCCCTTTCCATGGAGGGTGCTTTGCCCCCCCCCCCCCCCCGCGAGAGTCCCTGTGACAATCCCCGACCCCAGAGCAAGAGTTCCTGTCAGACATATCGGTACAGAATTCAGAACACCAGCGTGAGATAAGAAGCTGGGCCAAGGGTGAAGCTGGTTCCAGCTGCGTGTCTGAGGGAGGTGGGCTGTGGGAGTCGGAGGAAGAGGCAGCGTTTGGCCAAGCGGCTCCAATTCTAGGCTGAACTGGCCGGGAGCTGCCCTTTCGCCTCGTGCTGTTCAGGAAGGGAGCCTCCTTACGGTGGCTTTTCTGACTTTCCTCCACAGGGCTGAGATCGCCAGTCCCTGCTTGGCACTCTCCCCATCGCCCTGCTGGAAGGGGGCATCCTCTCTTGTAGGAGAGAGGGAGGGATCTTACCGCTGTCCACCGCAGAGATGGCAGGCAGAGCCTACCTGGCTTGAGGCCAGGGCCACGTGGCCGATCCCCTGGAGTGGTTGCATTGTGACTCAGGAGTGGCTGAACTTGTCGGGGTTGTGCTCCTCTGCTCGGAGCCCTGTATTTTGGGATGTGAAAGCTGCACAGCCTGGAAGCTGTGATTTTCATGACCGTCAGGAAGCGGCCAGGCGGCGATGAGTCAGCGTGCAGGCTTTGTCAGGATCATGGTGATGGGTGAGTCACCAGTGCCTGTGTGTACCGAGGGTGTGTGCACATGTCCCTCTGCCATGACACCTAGAGATGCAGCTGGCTGCGTCTCTAGGGTGTGTGTTGGAGGGATGGGTGGGGGAGAACTGCTAGCACCTAGTCGCTACTTTAGGGCTGGTACGGTGTCCTCTCCTCTCATCTCACCCCCACTGCTGAATTGTCCCTGCCCCACTGCTCCCCTCTATGGGTTGTCTTTATTCCCCGCCCCCTTTCCTTGGGGGCTCCTTTTGGGCCTCTTTCCTCACCTGCTGTCAGCTCCGTCGGTGAGCTCCATAGCTCCGTGCTCAAGCGCTGTAGAGATGAGGGGACCAGTGCATTTCACCCAGCTGCCTGCACGGGACCGTGAGCTAGCAACGGAAGCAGTGACTCCGAAATAGATTCGGGGGGAGGGTGGATAATCAGCTGAACGGGAGCTCCCAGTGGGATGCTGTCACCAAAAGAGGTAATGTGATCCTGGGCTGCATAAACAGGGGAATGGTGAGTAGGAGCAGAGAGGTTATTTTACCTCTGTATTTGGTGCTGGTGCCACCACTGCTGGAATCCTGTGTCCAGTTCTGGGGTCCATAACTCAAGACACGTGTTGATAAATTGAAGGGGGTTCAAAGAAGAGCCCCGAGAATGATTAAAGGATTAGAAAACCTGCCTTCTAGTGATAGATTGAGCTCCTTGAGTCTATGTAGCTTAACAAAGAGAAGGTTAAGGGGTGACTTGATCCCAGTCTGAGTTGCTACATGGGGAACAAATAGTTAATAATGGGCTCTTCAGTCTAGCAGAGAAAGGTCTAACGCGATCCAATGGCTGGGTGTTGAATCTAGACAAATTCAGACTGGAAATAGGGCGTACGTTTTTAAAGCGTGAGGGCAATTAACTATTGGAACAATTTACCAAGGGCCCTGGTGGATTCTCCATCACTGACCATTTTTAAATCAGGACTGGCGGTTTTTCTAAAGGATCTGCTCTAGGAATGGTTTCGGGGCAGGTTTCTGGCCTGTGCATACAGGAGGGCAGACTAGATGGTCACAATGGTCCCTGCCGGCCTTGGAATCTCTGACTCTGGTGAGGGGAAGAGAAGACAGGAATGTGGAGAAATGGCCTGTGAACCCCCGAGCCCGGGGGATGGGATGGGACAGAATGCTGCTGCTGAGGGGACACGGAATAGGAGTTTCTGGACTCGTGAGTGACTTACACTCTGGCCCCCTAGAGCTGAACTAAAGTGCCTCAGTTAAATCCTCAGCGAGCCGTTTCTAAGGTGCCGCACGGCTGTGCAACCCCACAAAAGGGGATGGCAGTAGCTGGGCGTGAGGGAATGGCTAGGGAGTCGCATGGTTGAGAGGCGGGGGCAGATGGTCTGGGAGTCAGGACTCCTGGGTTCTACTCCTAGCCCTGCTGCTGACTGGCTACTTGTCCTCTACAAGTGCAGAGTGGCAGTATAGTTATTGGGGTGCCTCACACTGACCCTGCTCCCCACGACCTCGCTATGCATTCCTCCCTCCCGGTAGCAAGCACCATCACTGATCTGTGGGGGGTCCTTGTGTTTGCAGCTGGCGGACTGTACACTGCAGGTCTCACCATCTGGACAGTACCTGGATCTTGATCTGTCCCTGCTGGAGCAGAAAGATGAGCTGGAAGGATTCTACGAGGAGATCAGGTGAGTTGCTGGAGTCGCAGATATACCCGTCTGAACCGAGTGAGTGGGACATGAGTCACTGTCTCCACTCAGGAGACTGCCCAGCCAGACAACATGACCCTGCTTCCCCCACCTTTGCCTTCTCCAGATGCCCCCATGGAGTGAGACGCTGATGCATGTTGCTCTTCTGCCTGCTCAGCAGGATGGAGCAGACGGTGAGGGGCCTGCGGGGGAGCAAGAATGGCTGGAATTGGGGCTGGGGCTGGTAGAGTCACTTGGGGGATTCACTCCTTTGCCAGCCGCTTCCTGGATGTTAAACTGAGCCCCTGGGCTGAGAGCCTGGGGACAGGCCAGTTTTGGTCAGACTCTAGGGCAGTCTGTGGGGAGTGAGGGACCTTGGACTTGAGGTGCCTCAGCAGAGCTGTGGGGAGAGATCAGGCCTGGAAAGCAGGAGCGGCCACAGATCAGGACAGAAGTACGCTGGCAGAGGTGCGTGGAGGCCCCAGGACAGTGCACCAAAGAGCTGCCCCTCCCCCCAGTGTAAGTGTGTAGATTTGGTTTCCTGAGGGTGGTTGTGGTGATCTGGCAGGCCCCAGCAATAGCCGGGTGCTGCTGCTGTCAGTAACCTGTGGAAGTGGGGCATGGTGTGTGTGTGTGGGGGGGGAGCTGTTCTGGGGGAGAGGTGGCTGGCACATCATTAGGGGAGCAGAGCTCTGGCTCTGGTGCTGAGTATGGAGGCAGGCTGGTGCCCATTGGTCGGCGTGGGTCTGGGCCTTGCTGACTTGTAGGCTCCCGATGGCGGTGCTGTGAGCAGGCCCTGGCTGCCCGCGAGCGAGGCTATTGGTGACATTTGCGGTGACTTACCTGCATTCCTCTCGTTCCAGCAAAGGGCGGCGGCCAACTCTGATCCTGCGCACGCAGCTCTCCGTCCGAGTCCATGCCATCCTCGGTGAGTCCCTGATAGCCAAGGGCTCTGGGCCCAGTCCCTTCTGTATTCCCCAGGGCCTTTGCCTTTAACTGGCCCAAGGCCACTCGAGCCAGGAGCACTGTGACACAGGGCTGTGTGGGGCCTGGCTAATCTGGCCCATGGGTTAATTGCTGAGTGCTCCTGGGGGCTGGCTCCCGGCTCCCTTTCCCATGATCCTCTGAGCTCCAATGTTCTCTCCGGCTTCATGTCTCTGTCTGCCATGGCTGGGTTTTCCCAGCCCCTGTCACTGCCACGGCTGGAGATGAGCAACTGGGCAAGGAGGGGGGCAGGCTCTGAGGTGGCACGGAGCAGTCTCTCTCGGGTGCTTGTCTGACTGGTTCCTGCTCACATGCTCAGCATCTAGCTGGTTGCTACCACGTGGGGGGTCGGGAAGGAATTTCCCCCGGGTCAGATTGGCAGTGACCTGGGGAGGTTTCACCTTCCCCTGCGGCGTGGGGTGCGGGTCACTTGCCAGGATCATCTGGGATATCTCACTTCATCCTTTCCCTGCCATGGCAGGGGCCTCGGGCACCTAGGTCCTTCCTGTTCTCTCCGTGTGGCGCGTAATAACCTGGTCTCCTGTGGGCTGTGATACTTGGGGGTTGGGTTCCGTGTGGGGGTGCTGGTGGGCTGTGCTGTGTAGGAGATCAGACTGGAAGACCTGGCCTTAAACTCTGACTCGGGTCATTGTTCCTCCCGTGGCTCTTGGGGCTGAAGGGGTTAATTGTTTTCAGCACAAAGAGCCCAAGTACAACAATATTTTTGCCTGTGATACTGAAAACATGCCGCATGCTACAAATATTCCGGGTCGCTTAGGCAAGCTCTAAATATAGACTTGGAAAGTACAAACAACTGTCTCTCGTGGCCAAGAACCCCGATGAAGGGTCAGGCATCCAGTGCTGGGAACCAGCATGGCTCCTCGGCACTGGGTGTCTCCCGGTTCCTGAGCTTGGTGCGGGGATCACGAGTATTGCACAGGGGTGCTGTATTAACGAGATCTAGAGCGGCCGCCCCTTTGCTGCAGCCTGGGGCCCTCCTGCTGGCAGCCCGCGGGGAGCTGACATGGGGGGTCCTGCTCACTCGGCATGGGTCCAGCTACTAAAAGGCATTCAGTCCTTTCCTTGCATCGCTCTTCCATGTGGCCAACGGTGGGAGGTAGGCCCGCACTGAGAAGACTTGAGCCCCTGCTGTTCTGTGCAGTAGGAGCCCAGATGATAACTGCTGAGTAGGTTACCGAGGAGCTCTGTCAGCCTAGACCAGCCTTTCCCAAATGGTGGGTCCCAATCCATTGGTGGATCCCAGAAGGGTTGAGTGGGGTTGCACATACCCTGAAGGCGCTTTCACTTCCCCTGGAGGAGTTTTTACCTGGACAGCGGGCCCAGGCCTGGGAAGGTGGAGCGTCCCCCTCTGTCTTTGTGCCTGTAGTGTCTACCCTTTCCCTTCCCCTGTGCCTGCAGGTCTCTTAGGGACAGCCCCGCCCTGGGCTCCAGTGCCGTGTCAGCTAATTGTGCAATCCTTTCCCTGCAGAGCCGCTGAGGTCAGGGCTCTGCTGTCTGTTGGGGCTTCCCAGGCTCTGGCCGGGTTAGGGTCTGCTCTGCTGTGTGTCTCTGGTGCTCGGACATTCCAGCAGCTGGAGGGGGCAAAGGTCACCTGAACTGCAAGTTAACCAAAAGTCCTAATCAGCGTTCCTGAAATCTTCTCGGAAGGCTGCTGCTTGCCTCGTTAGAGCTTCTGACTGAGCCACCTCAGGATGCTGTAGAGATCAGCTGGATTGTGCTTTTAATAACTGCCTGTCAGACAGCAGGAATCAAGAGGCAACCAACAGTAGAAACTAACCCTAAACTAAACACCAAACCAGCAGAAACTTGCCAGCAAGTTAAAAAAATATGTATTGAATGAATGGACTATAAGGTGGATAGAAAGCTGGCTAGATCATTGGGCTCAACGGGTAGTGATCAACAACTCAATGTCTAGTTGGTAGCCGATATCAAGCAGAGTGCCCCAGGGGTCGGTCTTGGGGCCGGTTTTGTTCAACGTCTTTATCAATGATGTGGATGATGGGATTAATTGCACCCTCAGCAACTTTGCAGAAAGCAATGAACCCCTTCAGCCACTAAGCTGGGGGGAGAGGTAGATCTGCTGGAGGGTAGGGATAGGGTCCAGAGTGACCTAGACAAATTGGAGGATTGGGCCAGAAGAAATCAGATGAGGTTCAACAAGGACAAGTGCAGAGTCCTGTACTTAGGACGGAAGAATCCCATGCACCGCTACAGGCTGGGGACTGTCTGGCTAAGCGTCAGTTCTGCAGAAAAGGACCTGGGCATTACAGTGGACGAGAAGCAGGATATGAGTCAGCAGTGTACCCTCGTTGCCAAGAAGGCCAACGGCATATTGGGCTGCATTAGTAGGGGCATTGCCAGCAGATCGAGGGAAGTGATTATTCCCCTCTATTCAGCACTGGTGAGTCCACACCTGGAGTATTGTGTCCAGTTTTAGTCCCCCCACTACAGAAAGGATGTGGACAAATTGGAGAGAGTCCAGCGGAGGGCAACGAAAATGATTAGGGGGCTGGAGCACATGACTTAGGAGGAGAGGCTGAGGGAACTGGGCTTATTTAGTCTGCAGAAGAGAAGAGTGGGGTGGGATTTGATAGCAGCCTTCAACTACCCGAAGGGGGGGTTCCAAAGAGGATGGATCTTGGCTGTTCTCAGTGGTGGCAGATGACAGAACAAGGAGCAGTGGTCTCAAGTTGCAGTGGGGGAGGTCTAGGTTGGATATTAGGAAACACTATTTCACTAGGAGGGTGGTGAAGCACTGGAATGGGTTACCTAGGGAGGTGGTGGAATCTTCTTCCTTAGAGGTGTTTAAGGCCCGGCTTGACAAAGCCCTGGCTGGGATGATTTAGTTGGGGTTTGGTCCTGCTTTAAGCAGGGGGTTGGACTAGAGGACCTCCTGAGGTCTCTTCCAACCCCAGTCTTCTATGATTCTATGAGTACAGCTATAAAACCCCCAGCTGCATACACTATACTGCAGGACATCAGCCCGACACCATGTCATGGGTGCATTGAAACAGCAGAGTTCACAAGTCAGCTCTGACAGCGATCAACTGCAGGATTCCAGTCTGCGCTGGGCAAAGGCGTTGGTCTTGGCCAAACCAAACACATGAGCTGCACTGCTCTGGTGCCGCCATCCCTGTGGTCAGCGGGAGAGGAGCGTTAGCTAGAACCCTTGCTCCCTCCAGCCACTGTTTGCAGAGGAACCCTCAGGGTCAGGGCATCAGGATCTTCCTTTCTTTAGCTGGAAACTGGACTTGTGACCCAGGTGTGTCAGGCTTGCAATGTGCAAACCAGGCTGCTTACAGAGCAAAAGCTAGGCTGTCTGCTGTCTTTGCACACAGACTTGCCGGGGGGCTGGCTGCTGGAGCCTGCTGCAGGCAGAACGTGCATGGCTGCTGCAGGGCTCCTAAACTACTTTCTGACTGTGATTCAATCACACAGTCTTGCCCGCTTCCTGACTCGCCTTTGCAGCACTTCCGCTGTAATCAGATTGCTGATGAAACCTTATTTACCTGGATACATCATGGTGTGTTTGTTGCTCTTTGGGGGACACCTGTGAAACCAAACTTTCTCCCAGACCTACCAGACAGGCTCTGGGGGAGATACCATTGAATGGGCCTTCTCTGGCTGCTGCTAGCAATGGTGATTTGCGTGGTGTCTGCAGCAGGCTTGGCACTGCCGGCACAGGAAGTCGCATTCGTTTTTCCTGTCCCTGACACATGCGGAAGGATGTGTCTGAACACCAAGTGCCTCCTTCACGTTCCTGCAGAGATGAGATTTGCCTACCGCTCTAACCCAGGAGGCCTGGGCGAGAGAACATGCTAACTCTTAGATTAGTGGGGCGGGGGGTCAGCAGCGTGACCTGACTGTCTTCTCGGTGTCTCCAGACCTTCGCCCCTGGCATCTGCCTTGCTTCCAAGTTTTCCATTAGATCAGCAGGCATGGCATGGCCCTCACCTCCTCAGACTGCTGGGAATGCAGCATTTCTATTCGCTCCTGGCCTGCTGGAGATAGGTAGGGGATGGGGGAGAACCTCTCGGTCAGTCCCCTCTGACGCCACTCATGTCAAGCCCAACAGGCCGAGCAGTTTAGCAGTTGCTGCTTCAAGATGTATGTAAACCCCGTCCAGATCTCTAACCCCTCTCCCGCTCTGCTGGGTGTGTGAGGGAAGCAGGCCTGGCTCTACAGAGCACGGGGGTGAGGCTGTTTCTTAGTGTCAACAGATGTGGGCTGTTTTCTGTTCCCCTTTATTGCTCCCCCTGTGCTGTTTGACTCCTCCTGTGCCCCAGGGCAGTGCCGCTCCCCTATCCCTGGAGGCCCCTGCAAGTTGAGCCCATCTGTGCACAGGGTGTGGTCAGGGCCGTCCTTAGGATTTATGGGGCCCTCTGCAGTATTGTTAAACTGGTGCCCCTGTGCCGACAGCAGCCTGGGCTCGCATGTGTATTTTAGAGAAGGGGGGGGGTCTTTTGAAGGATTTATTTTAAAAACTGTCTGAAGGTTCAAGCATTTAAGGCTAAAGATGAATCCTCAGATTGTGCATCTAAAAATCTATGCGAGGATTTTTTAGAGATGTGATTTTATCATCTTCACCATCACACTAATGAAATATTTTTAAAGCAGATTTTAAACTAAGGTCCTGTAGACTGACATGTTCTGAGTAAACATGACCGTGATGCACAACTGTTTCCATCAGTAAATTCAGACAGTCTGTACCTGGGGGTTGTTAAATGCCTGTTCAATGGCTCCATTACCCCGTGAATGGCTCGCTAACAATTTCAGTGTTGTGCTAATAGGTCTGGCAGGCTGGAGGCTTTTTCACTTATAAGTACTAGATCCCCTCTGGAAGAAGACTGGGGAGGCTGCAGCAGCCAGCTGTGGTGGGAGCCTGCAGGAAGGGTCAGAACAGGGATAGGAAAAGGCAGAAGG